TTTAATCATTTTTAGGTGTAGCATTCAGTGGCATTAATTACATTCACAATATTGTGCAACTATCACTGCTATTTCTAAAACTTCCTTCGTTGCCCCAAGCAGAAGCTCTGTGCCCATTAAGCTCCCCATTCCCCTCACCCCAGACCCTGGTAACCTCTAATCTACTTTCTGTCTTTATAAATTTGCCTATTCTAGACATTTCCTATAAGGAAAGTCATATAATTGTTGTGCTTTTGTGTCTATCTTCTTTCACATAACATGTTTTCAACTTTCATCCAGGTTGTAGCATGAGCAGAACTCATTACTTTTCAGGGCTGAATAATATCCCATCGTATGGATATGCCACATTTTGTTTCTCCATTCATCTCTTGGTAGACATGTGAGTTGTTTCCCTTTTGGCTGTTGTGAATGATGCTGCAATGAACATTAGTGTACAAGTATCTGTTTGAGTCCCTGCTTTCAGTTCTTTTGGGTGTGTACCTAGGAGCGGAATTGCTGGGTCATATGGTAATTCTATGTTTAGCTTTTTGAGAAACCTGAAATGTTTTGGTTTTAGGCTGGCTTGTGGGTCTTTATGTTATACTCTAGACCTTTTCTCTATGACTGAAATATTTTATAAATTTCAAAAGTAGAATGAATTGGGCTTCCCTGGTGGCGCAGTGGTTAAGAATCACCTGCCAATGCAGGGGACAAGGGTTCGAGCCCTGGTCCGGGAAGATCCCACATGCCGCGGATCAACTAAGCCTGTGTGCCACAACTACTGAGCCTGCGCTCTAGAGCCCACGTGCCACAACTACTGAAGTCCGCGCGCCTAGAGCCCGTGCTCCACAACAAGAGAAGCCACTGCAATGAGAAGCCCACACACCGCAACGAAGAGTAGCCCCCGCTCGCCGCAACTAGAGAAAAGCCCACACACAGCAACGAAGACCCAACGCAGCCAAAAATTAAATAACGAAATAAATAAAGTAGAATGAGTTAAAATTGGAAGCCACCATTTGCATTGTTAATATCTTCTGAACTGCATCATAATTCAAAGCTCTTTGAGGGACCATACGTGGCTTGGCTCTCAGTTTCAAAACGGCCAGTTAGAGCTCCTGCCCATTCTAGCCCATTCATAATGCTGAAACAGTCACACCACTCTAGAAGACGCTGGAACCAGCCCCTGGGCTCCAGCAGTCCCCAGGCCTCTTAGGGTGGGGGCAGAGGGCGCTGCCTCATCCTTGCTGTCATCGAAGCCTCAGGCTGCACACCCTGTCCTTCAGCAGGTTACTTCTGGAGCTTCCCCTAAGCATTCAGCATTATCCCTCCCTGGCATCTGATCTCCAGCCAGAGGCAGCCTGATCCTGGGCTAAGACCGTCCTGCCAGGTGAGCTGCTCACCTCGGCCTCTTTCCAGTCCCGCAGCCCAGACCATGGCCTGTGTGGAGAGGGAGAGAGAGCCGTAGTCCCTCCACTCAGCCTCAGGGTGTAAGTCCTGGGTCAGCCTCCCGTGACCTTGGGCCAGGTCCTCCATCTCCAGGCCTCAGAAAGTGGGAGTTGTGGGTGCTGACAGACCTGTGGTCTGCAAACCACTGAACAGGTGTCCCAGGAGGAAAAGGAGACGAGCATCTCTTTGAGCCATTTAGCCCGTCACGACAGCTCCAAGAACATTTGACATCTGTGAAATAACATCATTAGGTAAGTGTTAACTTTTCCCCACTGGTAGGCCCAGTGCGAGTAAATGTACTGTGACGAGTGTAATGTGTTTATGAAATGTGTATAATAAATTATCAGAAAGAGCTACATTTTTAATATTGCTTAATATATCCAGTTTGCCTGTCAGCAGCCACAGGCTATATGGCAGCCGCTTCCATCGACTCATTGTGCGTCAGCTTACACGCTTCCAGGCTGAGGCCCCGGCATGGGCTGAGGAAGAGGCAGGGGGCGGCCAGAGTGGATGGCTCCCCTGTCCCTTCCTGATTTCCTCCCTGTCATCTGGAATCGAAAGAAAAATGGGGCTTTGTTCACCATCAGGCCCCCTGCAGGACGCAGCCTGGAGCCTGTCACAGGGTAGGTGCTCAATAAATACTTGTTACGGTGTGGATTCTTAGAGAAATGAATGGACAAGGGCCCCCAGAAGGCCCCTGTCCATCAAACAGGAAGTGCTTGGAATTTTTCCATCAGCCCCTGGTTTGGGTTAAAATTTCCTATCAATACAGAGGAACTTCTATCGGCACAGCAAGCCCAGAGCTCCTCCAGTAATCAGGGAAGGGTGGAGACTGGGGGTACATGTTAGACCAGGGCCAGGGAGGGTCCTTCCTCCCAGGGCACACGGACACCAGCCAGAGATGCCAGCCAAGGACGTCCGGCCAAGTGCAGGGTAGAGGTCATTTCCTCTAAATGCCTCTCACCTACTGGTCGCTCTCAGCCAGGAAAGAAGTCACAATGCCTGATGTGGGGTGTTTCAGACTCCCCGTTGGGTGTTGGCCTCAGATACGCCACGTGTTTCTCCAGTGGTCATCCTGGCATTCACTGACTGGATGCTTTGAGGCTGGGCCCACCACTCCCACTTCTTCCAGACCCTCCCCAGAGCCAGCACCTGCAGAGCCAAGAGCCGGGGGCTGATCTTCCAGAAAGCCAGACCCACAGAAAGTCAGGAAGCCAGGAGGAAGTGATCAGCCCCCTCTGTCCCCACTCCCAGTGAACTCACGGGTAGAGCCTTGCCATCAAAGGGGCACAGGGTCAGGATATCCAGGCTCTCATTCCCAGTCACTATACCTCCCGAAGCTTCAGTTTCCCCACCTGTAAGAGGGTGACAACACTCTCGTGCTCCTCAAGTGAATGAATTAGGAAATGATGGTTCAGTGCCTGTGTCATTACGTAATCGCTTTGTGGTGCAGCCACCTCTAGCACAGATGTCACTCTGTGCCTATTTAAGGACTAATCCCCTTAAGCATTCCTGGAAATGGGATACCCACTCACTGTGTTAGGCTTCCAGGCTCTCCTGTCCCTCCCATGGCCTTTGACTCTTAGGCTGAATTTCTCTCCTACCAGGATCCCAGATGGTCCTTAGGGAGCCCCCAGGCTGGTTCACCCTACTGTAACCCCTAAGACCCTTGGCCCCCCTCTCTCTTCCTCCTCAGTTTGGGCTCGAGAAGCCTCAAGGAGAGCTCTGGGGAGCAAGATTTTACCTGTGTTCCCAGCTCTGCTCTCTCGGGGTGAGAAGGGAGAGGCGGGGATGGGGGCAGTGGAAGCCCCCAAAAAGTCAGGACCCCAGCTCTGCCACCAGCCAGCAGTCACCTGGGCAAGTCACTGTGTCTGAGCTTTAATTTCCTCACCTGCAAAATGGGAACATTGTACCCTGCCTACATCGTGGGGTGATAAAAGGAATCAGTGAGATAACAGCTGTTGAAGGCTCCTGACAGAGTATACCGTAGGTTTCAAGGGTGGGTGGTGACCTTCACCATCCATTTCAGGACTTGTCGTGAAACAACATGTGGATCCCCATCACGTCTCACCAATGAGTCTCATCTCCCGAAGGAAAGGGTGCAGAGAAGGCCGACGCTGGTGAGCACCTCTTACCTGCCATGCTCTGCTAGATGCGGCCTCCCCACAATGCTGTGAGGTTGGCAGTAGCCCCACTTCACAGCTGAGGAAACTGAGGTTCAGGGAGAGCCAATGATCTGCCAGAATGATGCAACTGGAAGTGATGACGGCGAGGCCTCCTCTCTCTTCTCTCTGCTCTCCACACCTCCACAGGGGTTATGGTGGGTGGAGGGGCACAGGCTTGGGGTCCTGCGTTCAGTTTTCCTGGAAGGGACCCAGCCAAGAAGATAAGCATTTCTGACGTTCAGTGGGAACCAGAGAGTGAACAGGATTCTGTCTGTGCCCTGGGCTTTCTGGGGACACACCTGTATAAGCAGCAGCCGTTCCCAACGGAGCGTTGTTCCTGGGAAAGCAGGACAGCAGCCAGGGCTGGGCATTTGTTTGGTTATCCGATCATGTGGGAAGCCTGAGCCTGTGGGCTGGCCACACCCTGCCGTTCCACCTCTGCCTCGCTCATCATTCCCTGGGGATGCCCAGCCCTGCCTGCCCTCATCCTCTCCTGACCACGGCTTATGGTCAAGGTCCTCACCCACCCTGTCCCCATGGGGGGCGGGCGGGGGCTGGGTCACTCAACCTACTCAAGGACCAAGTGAGAGACTGACTCCTGGTTACAGAGAGTGTGTTTGTATGGGACCTGAGAGGAAGGGTGAACAGACTGTGCCAGTAGTGACCTTGTACAGCTGTGGATGTCTTGCTCGTGTGTGAGCACCCTGTCCGGCACTCCTAGAGTGTGGCCGTGTGTCCTGCTAGATTGGGGATTGGGAGGTGCCTTGAGTCCCCTGATCACTTTTTGGGTGTGTTCGTATGTCCTGTTAGGTGTGCTGGGGACAGGGGTGCCCTGGGTCCCCTGACCACCTCGACGAGTGCTGTTTGTGTGTACTGTTAGGGATGTGTATGTACTGGGGGATATACGGTGCCACCGCAGCCTCAGGCAACTCTGTACAGGTACGTGTGTCCTGCAGGTGGGAGCAGTGGGAGCTTCCGCCCAGTTCTGCACACGTTTCTGTGCGCTGGTAGTGTCCTTGCACACCGGTATGTGTCCTGTGTGAACGGAGCCCAGAAAGTGCGGGCACGCGCGGGAAGGTGCGGGGCCCTGCTCAGCTCCCCGCCGGTCCTGCGGTGCGTGAGTGGAAGGCGCCCGGTGGCCCTGCCCGCCGGGTGTGCGCGCGCGGGGTCCCGGGCCGGCGTGCGCGCCGGTGTGAGTGCGAGTGAGTGCGGCGCCGCTCAGCTCGCTCCGCGCCGCGCCGCCCTCGCCGCCCGCACTCTCGCACTGCTCGGCGGCTGCCGGTGACGCGGGCTGGGCCCGCCCCCTGCCTGCCGGCCCCTGGCACTCACTCGCGCCGGCCGCCGCCGAGCAGGCAGCAGCCGTGTCAGGGCCGTCCGGGGGCGCTGCCGGCGATGCCCGCAGCCCCCGCCGCTCCCAGCCGGGCCTGCTGAGCCGCCCCCGGGCCGGGGCCGCGCCGAGTCTGGCCGGGCCGCGCCCGGGCGGGGCCGCGCTGCCTGCATGACCCTCCGGCGGCGCGGGGAGAAGGCGACCATCAGCATCCAGGAGCATATGGCCATCGACGTGTGCCCCGGCCCCATCCGGCCCATCAAACAGATCTCCGACTACTTCCCCCGCTTCCCGCGGGGCCTGCCGCCGGACGCCGGGCCCCGCACCGCTGCACCCCCGGACGCCCCCGCGCGCCCGGCCGCGGCCAGCGCGGGCCGCCGCAGCCCCTCCGACGGCGCCCGCGACGACGACGAGGATGTGGACCAGCTGTTTGGAGCCTACGGCGCCAGCCCCGGCCCCGGCCGCAGCACGGCGCGACCGCCTGCCAAGCTGCCCGAGGACGAGCCGGACGCCGACGGCTACGAGTCCGACGACTGCAGTAAGTTTCCCACCCGCCGGCTTCTCGCCCCCGCCCCTGCGCGGCTGCTCTCGCTCCCGACCTCGCCCGCCCTCGGATCCCCTGCGGTCTCGGTTCCCCCGGCACACCCCTCGCTGTGTCGCTGCCCCCGGCCGCTGTGCGCTCTCCGCGCGCCCGGCACACACAGCCCTGACACCGCCCCCGAGCAGATCGGAGAGGTGGGAAGTTTGGGGGCCCCCTGGGGGTGTCCCATTTCCGGGGCCCAGCTCCCCGGAGCCCGCGCCGCGCCCCCTCTCGGCCCTCCCGCCGGGAGCCCCGGCGCGGGCGGCGGCTTTTGTTCCCAGGCAGGGCGGAACTGCGCCCCGGGGAGACACCAGTTGCTGCTGGCCGCGTGGTCGCTCCCCTCTCCGGAGCCCGCGGCGGATCGGCCCCTCGGCCGAGGGTCGGGCTGGGCGAGAGGCAGAGGGCGCCCGGGGCCCGGGCCGGACGGCCTCCCTGGTGGGGCCGGCGGCCGCAGAGCGCGGCGGCTTGGCTGGCGTGGGGGGCCGAGGACCAGGGGACCGCGGGGCCGCTTGTCCTTTGGAGAAACCTTGGTGATTCCTCCTCCCGTGTCCGTTGGTCCCGCCGCTGCGCTCGACCGGGCCGCCGACCTTCGCCCACCTGTTACACCCGCTTCCCCGGTCGGGAAGGGTCCCCCACCCCAGCCCGCGCCTCCTCCTCCGGGGCTGAGCCCCGAGCCCCAGGGATTAGGCAAGCGCCAGGGCTCCCGGGGCCTCCGGGGCCGAGGCCCAGCCGGCTGGCGCTCCTGGCGCCTTTCTAGGCTCTGAGGGTGCCCGCGCCGGGACTGGAGGGGAAACCGAGAACGTAGAGGTCGCCGGGCGGTGCGGGATGGGTTTACGCGGGATTGGGGTGGGGATGGGCGCAGCGCTGCTCGCCAGGCCCCCAGCCCAGCTGTAGCCCCAGCCGCGTGACTCTCAGAGCTGGAAAACCCGAGTCAGACGCCGGCCCTGCCTGGGAGGTGGACCTTTCCCGGGGCAGGGGTCGCTCGCCGACTTCCCCCAGGCTCGCCGGGTCCCATCCCCCGCGCAGCGCAGCAAGGGTGGCTGCGTCTGGCTTGAATGCCCACACGGGCCTCAGGCTGGGGGTCTGGAGTTTCCCCCAGAATAAAATGTGCCTCTGGAAGCTGACAGTGGGGGTGACCACTGCGGGAAGAGGTGGGGCCCGACCTCTCATCACCCTACCTAGGGAGGCCCAGCAGGTGCAAGTGGTAGGAGGCCTGTCAGACAGTGGGTCGCTCGGAGCCGGGCCTGTGCTGGGAAGCTGCCTGCTCTGCACTTTCTCGGGCCTGGACCACAGCCCTCTGGCTGAAGTCTGGCGTCCCTCCACTTTCCTGCCAGCCTGGGGAAACGGTCGGGAGAGCTTATTGCCCTCCAGGCTGTGCCCTTAATCTTCACCCCCCCCCCCAGCTCCTGGCACCCTGGGCAAGGTGCACCCCCTCACTTGCTGTGTCTTTGGGCAGGCCCTAACTGAGACCCAGGTCACCCCTTTGCATGTCCTGAATCTTCAGCCAGCTCCAGAAGAAGGGGTGAGGAACTTGTTCCCATTTCCAGCCTCTTTCCTGCTATGCCAAGGGAGCAAGCGAGCAGGGCAGGGCTTCTGCCTGGGCTTCAGGCCCTCCTGGTGCCACCCAGGGCCCTCTGATGACATACGGCTAAGAGGTGAGAAATCTGGTGGTTTCTTTTGGCTGTCCCTGAACCCACAGGCAAGGAGGGGACCCGAAAGTGCCCCATCTTCAGTCCATCAACCCAGCAGTCCTTCACAGAACACTCTCCTAGCAGCACAGAGGGAACAGGGCTGGGGCCCCGGACCCAGAGAGCTCACTGTCCTGCCAGGGGACAGACGCACTTGAGGTCTGCGGTACAAGGTCTGACACAGCCTTGCCAGCCTGAACCGTGGGGCTGGCCACACCCATGTCACCAGGGCAGTCAGCTGAAAAGAGCCAAGGAGGACGGTGTGTGGCTGGGCCAGGGCCAGCTTGGCCCCCTCATTCCCTTCAAGGGGCAGCCCCCCTGGGCTTAGACCCCCTCAGCGGCCGAACAAACATCCCACCATGGGAGCACAGAAATCTTGGGTCCTGCCCGTGGGGGGACCGGGTTCCGGGGTGGAACTGCTCTCTGCCCAATACTCCAGGCTTTACCCCCGTCCCAGCTCTGACAACCAGATCCCTCCAATAAGCCTGAATGATTCAAGCCAGATGGTTCATTACAGCTTTAGCCAGGGTTATGCTATTTGCTGCCCTAATTATTGGATTATGTCTGTTCTAACAAAAAGAAATTAGGACGGTTGCTCTGTTGTCCAAGGCCGAGAGTGAAGTGCTGTTTATTTATTCGGTCTTTTTTTCCTTCTCTTTAAAGCCCATCACCTCAAGGCATAAGCACAAAATTGACAGGTTCCAAATTGATCTAATAGAGGAGCGCTGATGGGGAGAAGATGCAGAAACATTATAGTTAGAAGTGTCCGCCCAGTGCCCTTCCCCTCCCAGTGGTCCACAGTGCAGCCTGGCTAACCTGGACTCCACTGCTTGCTGCCCTCCCAATGGGTCCTATGTCCCACCCTCCGCATGTGCTGCTCCCCTGCCTGAGATGCCCTCCCACCCAATCTCCACCTGTGGAAGCAGTCCATTCTTCAAAGCTGTAACGACTAGGATATTTGGGGGTTGTAGGCGACAGAAAAAAATTCAGAGTGCCTTAAACAGTGAGGGGTGTCGAGGTCATGGGGCGCTGGGGTAGATTCATGCAGCCGCTCGTCAGCAGCATCAGTGGTGATGGTTCTGTCTTTCCACATGGCCATGCCCTTTTCCTCTTAGGCTGACCTCCCTCATGGTTCAAAGTGGCTGCTGCAGGTCCAGACATCACATGTAACAGTAAGATCCTAAATTTGATAAGGATCAGTTTCCTCTCCCATGTCTCAGTTTAAAAGTGAGGGAGCCTCTCCCAGAAGTCCCCAGCAGATCTGTCCTTCTGTCTCGCTGGCCAGAATTACATCTCTTGCCCATGCTTACACCTGCATGATTCAGCCTGGGCTAGGTCAGGACTGATCCCCACAGAGGCCTGGAGCAAGGATGGAGGGGAGGAGTCGCTGTTAGGCCTGCCCGGAAGTCCCTCGGCTCGAATAATTTCCCGGTACCCACTGGCTGTGATTCCCTTTCCTTGGAGCTAAGTCATATGCTACCCGGACCGTATTTCTATGCACTTAACCTTATAAGACCAACTAGGTGTCGGGCACTATGCTGAGTGTGGAGGTTCCAGAATGCCTGAGACACGATCTCTGCCATCAGGGAGTTCATGGAAACCGTGACACACAAGTAGCCCAGCAGTGAGGACAGGGAGTCAGGATCCCAGATGGGAAGCACCGGCTCGCGCAGAGTTCCCCCACAGAGGGGGCGCTCTGAGTCTGGGAGGAGGGGGGACGCAGCCTGGCTTAGTGCAAGGAGGAAGAGTCGAGTGGCTGGAGCAAGGGGAAAAGGCCTCTGATGGTGAGGCCGAAGCGGTCATATCACAGAGGGCATTGAATGCCACACCGAGGAGGTTGAACTGAGTCCAGGTGGCAGTGGAAAATTTTTGAACAATGTAAAGCAGGCAAATGAATAGGTTTATAAAAGTCCTAACCCTCTGCCTCTGAGCTCCTGAGAAGCAGGGCTATATGATGTGTGGCTCATTCCTCTTTGTACCCCCTGCAACGCCTGGTCAGTGCCTCAGTTTCCCCAACTATGAAATGCTTTCGACGCAGGCTTGATCATTTTCTGTGGTTCTTGCCATGGTTTTTTTTTTGTGTGGTTGTTGTTGTTTTTAAACTATTTCAGAGGCTGACATTTTTCTTAAAAAAACAAAACCAGGGCTGGTTTCCTCCTCCCAAGGGTGTACGGGCGAGGAAGGTCCAGGTGCAAACGAAGGTCAAAATGATGCTGTCAGTCTCCGTCAGCAGAGCAGAGGGATGTGCTGCCTTAGAGGAACTGATGGGGGCTGGAGCTTGATTTTCTCTGAATTAGCCCCATTAAAGCTCTATAATTATCAACAAGCTGGTGACAACTCTCAAAGGCCCATTAGTGACCAAGACTCATTATTTATCCAAGGATGTTAACTTCAGCCAGGAGGTGTGATTTGAGTGGCTGGAGGACAGGACCCCGTGGCTCACACAGACAAGCACCTTCACCTGCCCTCAGGGCCCGCCTGGCCTGCACAAGCCCAGGGGGGTTTTCAACTCAGAGGCTCCTCCAGGGTGGAGGCTGAGCCCTTCCCGCTCCCCACACCCCGAGAGCAATTCTGTTATTCTCTCTTTTGTTTCTCCTTTCCACCCTCTCAAGAGTTCAGCTAAACAAAGAGGCAGAAAAAAATGTTCGGAAGCCACTAAGCTTTAAGGCGGGAGCTCTCAGGATGGAAGTGAAGAGGCTTGGATTCTGCTTCCAGCTCTGCTGTGCCACCCTGACCAAATCACCTCCCCTCTCTGAGCCTCATTTCTCCAAATAGGGAATAAAGACATCGGGCGATGAGCTCTCTCAGAGAGCTCCACCACCGGCAAGTCTCTAAAAATGGTGACTGAGCTTCTATTTATAGACTATTATTTCTTATAAAACTTGCATTTGGAGTTCAAAGCAATTCATCAATCCCATCCTGGGGCAGCACTGGGCTTGCTCTTCCTTCCTGGGAAGTGAATACCGGTGTTGGTTTCACTGGGCAGCTTCGGGCCTTCCTTAAACACGGATGTCTGTAGAGCCAGTGGAAGGGACCCCTCTCCCCGCCTGGAGCTGAATTTCCCAGTGGGGACTCTGTCTGCCGGCTTGTCCTTCTCTGGAATTGGGAACCGGGCAGAGATCGTGGACTGTGTTGTTTTAATAGATGAGCATCACACCTCTGCTCCCGTGAGAAGCTGGAGAATGAGTTGGTTTGGATGGACTGGCCGTGTGGATTGAACATCTGCTCTTTGCTGGTGTCGGAGGTGTGGCCGAGGCATGGTCCCTGCCCTCAGGAGGCAAATGTCTGGGGGGCACAAGCCACAGGTTAGGTCTGAAGGGAACAGCAGACTGATTTAATGTCGTGCAAAGCCAAGAACTTTAGAGACTATTATTACAAAAGCCTGGGCCTGGAGAAGCTCGGGCCCATGGCTGTTAGTTGTTACAGACGTGTTGATAGATCACTCCCTTACAGCACCTCACCTGCTTACCCGCACAGAGGGGAGCTAGGATACAGGCAGCAAAAGGCCGGATACACCTGGACTAAAGCACGCATGCTCTGCTCAGGGAAAAGGACTTTAGGTTCCACTCAAGGCCTATTGACTTTTTTTTTTTTTGGCTGCGTTGGGTCTTCGTTGCTGCACGCGGGCTTTCTCTAGTTGCGGTGAGCGGGGGCTACTCTTCACTGTGGTGCGCGGGCTTCTCATTTCGGTGGCCTCTCATTGCAGAGCACGGGCTCTAGGCGTGTGGGCTTCAGTGGTTGTGGTGTGCGGGCTCAGTAGTTGTGGCTCACGGGCTCTAGAGCGCAGGCTCCGTAGTTGTCGTGCACAGGCTTAGCTGCTCCGCGGCATGTGGGATCTTCCCGGACCAGGGATCGAACCCGTGTCCCCTGCACTGGCAGGCTGATTCTTAACCACTGCACCACCAGGGAAGTCCCATGGCCTATTGACTTTTAGTTTAGACACAATTTTAACAAGTATTCTCACCTGGTTTCATAGAAGAGACAAGTAACTAGTGAATAGGAGAGAGAGCTGTTTGTGCTACCAGAGGCAAGTACTCTAACAGGAGTTTCAAGCTGACGGCAAGGGAGGAGGCGGAAAAAATGAAGAAAACCTCAAAACAGAGTGGCCACCTGGGATCCCTCGGTGGAAGAATCATCTCACATGCCCTTCTGTGTCTGGGCTGGGACTCTGACACACAGAACAGTAACCGTAGTCATAGCAATGATTCAGGTTATTCCGAAAAGTGTAAGTGACCATTTGTGTATTCTACTCACGAAGGCTGGGAGGGGAGTGATCCAATTCGGAATGAGTTCATTCCAGAAAGTGTCTCAGAGGGGCAAGTACAGTTATCTAGAAAAATCACCTAAATGGATACGCTCCTTCTATAATTATCTACTGAGTACTTTCTGTACCCCAGGCGCGGTGTTAAAGCACAATGCTATGAGGTGGATGCTGCTGTGTCTCCACTTTGCAGATGAGGAAACTGAGGCACACTGAGGCTAGATACACTGTCTAAGGTCACACAGCAAGGAAGTGCAGAGCCAGGATATGAACCCAGGGTCAGACGTCAGAGGGCAGGTCTCGCACCCTACGGGTGTCCCCGCGAGACAACGACAGAGACACTGAGCTGTGTGCCTGACCCTGTGTTAGGAGCTGGGGCGCAAGACAAGCAGTGGCTGGACTCAGCCAGCAGGCTGTGGTTTGCTCTAGACCCACACTGGGCACCCCTGGCCTCCCCCCGAGCATCACTCCAACCACTCCGCCCCCCCACCCTCTGGGTTGGCCTGTGGTTGGAATGCCCCTTCCCCCCGGCCCCAAGGTGCACTGGCCAAGCCCTACTCGTCTTGCATGGCTCAGGTGAAGTGTCACTTCCTCCAGGAAGCCTGTCCTGATGGCCCCAGTTCACATCCAGGCCAGGCGTCCCCCCTGAACCCTCCATCAGTCCTGGCCCACTAGACTTTGTTTTGACCAATCCTTTTCATCTGTTCCTCCCATTAAGCTGTGCTTTCCTCGGGGCAGGAACCCTGTCTTATTGATATCTTCGATCCTGGAGTCTGGCATATTGTAAACACTTGGGAAAGAAAGAAAGAATGAATGAATGAATGAATGAGTGAATGAATGAATTAGATGCCAGTTGACCAGCCCAGCAGCCTGCAAGGAGCATCTGGGCTTCTAAAGACATCCTGTGAATGTGTACCTCTCGGGGGAGAGATTTGCCCCTGAGGTCTGCTCCCACCCACCATCCCAGCCTTCAGGCCGGGAACCATGTCCGTGAGAAAAGCCACAGCTGCCGCGTGTGATCACGCCCGAGGGCGGCAGCTGCATCCAATCACTGCCGCACCCTCTGCCCAGCCCTTGGGAATCACTCGCTGCCTTTTAGAGGCTGGGGGTAGCAGCACGCGGGCCCAGCTCTCTCCTCACACCCTGCGCAGCGCTCCAGAGGGAACGGGGAGACCAGGGAGCCGCAGCCCCAAGTGCTGCTGGGGGACGGTGAGTGGGCCAGCCAGTCGGCCGGGCTGGGTCCTGCGGTGCTGCAGAGCCTGACCCCTCTGCCGTCTCGCACAGTTAAGAGGCAGGGACAGCCTGACCCCTCTGCCGTCTCGCACAGTTAAGAGGCTGGGACAGTTAAGAGGCAGGGGGAGCTGAGGTGTGGAGCCCTGGCCAGTGGTTGCACCAGGAGGACAGGAACCCCTTTAGCTGAGTGTGTAGCACATGTGGCCCCACCCTGGACCAGCCACGGGCCACGAGGCACGGCGTAGGGGTCAGGGGCCCACTGCCTGGCTTTGACTCTCAGTTCGCCGCTCGTGGTGCTGGAGGAGACGGGCCCCCGAGCCTCCTTCCCAGGGGTTGGGGGGGGTCGGTACGCAGCAGGTGCTCTGCTGGTGGCAGTCAGCGCGGTCACCGTGGCACCTCGTCCGGCCGCGCAGGGGTGGCTGACACTTCTCCACCGTGTGGGCCCGGCATGACCTGAGCCCTCCCTGTCTGCAGCCGCCCTGGGCACGCTGGACTTCAGCCTGCTCTACGACCAGGAGAACAACGCTCTCCACTGCACCATCAGCAAGGCCAAGGTAGGCCCCACCTGTGCGCAAAGGGCGAGGAGGGAGTTCTTGCTTCAGTCATCTCAGCTGCTCCTGAGATGTAGCTGCCTCCCCTACAGCGAGGTTTTCAGGGGAAAGAGTAGAACAGAGAAGGCAGAGAGAATGCGGGTGGGGGGCAGCTTTCAGGAGACAGAGGCTGCAGAGCTGGGGAGCTGTCGAAGGAGGGAAGGGCGGGCAGGGAGGTGACAGGCCTGTCCTGCAGGCCAAGAGGAAGGGTTGGATTGGGTGCCTCCGGACTCCCCGAGGAGGCTCTGGACGCTGACGCCACGCCAGGCGGGGGATTAGTCTCTGGTCGCACCGGCCTGAGCTTGCTCTCTGGGTGGAGGCGTGGACGTCTGAGAACCCCACGCTGGTCCTGCCCTGGGCTGGCACCGTCAGCTGTGTTCTCAGCCACGCTGTTCCCTTCGTCCCCACACCGCGACGCGCCCCCTGGGAGGAAGGTGCCCAAGTTGATGTTCTCCCGCAAGGTAAGGGCAGCCGTGCAGCCTGGTAGACCTCCCGGTAGAGCCGTGGAAGGGCCTGGGGCCGGCTCAGAGCAAGGAGCTTCCGGCATCGCTGCCCGTGCCCAGCCCCGCACCACCAGCACCCCAACCTGCGAGCTCCTCTGCCCCTCCTCCCGCCCTGCCCGTGGCTCTGCTCACCCAGAGGGGCAGGCTGCCTGGTTCGGCCCCGGCTGTGCCCCACCCGGCCTGGGCTGCCGTGGCTGGGCCACCGGGGCAGGGGTGAGCAGTGTCCCTGTTGGGCCAGCACCGCCCCCGCCCCCTCCTCTGGGAGCTGCTCGGGCTGTGACACAGGGCACGCCCTGCCCTCCTCGAAAGGGCTCTAGACCTGCCCTAGGCACAGAGCTGGGAATCTGATAACCCCCGGCTGTGCTGAGGTGGAAGGCAGGGTGCACGCCCCGGCAGACCCCTTCCCCTCTCCCTCCACCCAGCTGTGTAGAGGTTGTCCAGGCCTGGGGACTGGGAATGGGCACTGGCTGCCAGGCTGCTCTGGCCAGAGCCATCCCTTCTCCTTCCCACCCAGACTCCAGGCCCCTCCTGTGCTGTGTGCCCCGCCTTCCCTACCCAGGCTCTAGAGGGGCTATGTGGGTGAACTGGTGGGGGGGGGTGTATGTGTGTGCACACGCGTGTGTCCACTTGGGTTTGTATCACTCAAGGCATTGGAGCTGGGGGATGGGAGGCCCCCGAGCCATGGTCGCTCCCACATTCTCCAGTTCATCCTCTGCTTAGAACCAGTTCTGCAGGGGAAGGGGCGGTGCAGGCATGGGAGGAGCTGGGGCTGGGCTGGGGTGTGGGGAGGAGCCCCAGGGGGTAGGAAGGCTGAGGCCGACAGGCAGAGCCCCTCGGGGGCCCCTGGGAGGATGCCAGATGCCCCAGTGCTGGACCCTAGATTGGCCTCCCTCCCTCTAGGTAAGCAGAGCTGCCTCAGTTTGCTCATCTGTAAAATAGGGTTAATCATCCCCACCTATGTGGTGGTTGTGAGCATTTAATGAGTGAGTGCTCAGTACCTAATGCTGTCCTGCAGGACAGGGCCTGGCAGCAGACCCCCCACCCCCGCACCCCCCACACGCACACGCACGTATGGGCACTCATATCCACAGCAGAACTGGAAAGTTCCACCTTCGTGTGAAAGGGTGAGAGGCGGGATGAGAGGCCTGTGTTGGGAAGGTCTGTCTCTCTGCCACAGTGCATGCAGGGCCGCCCGGCCAAGCCTCGTCCTGGAGCCAGCCCCAAGGAGCAGGGCAGAGCTGGAGCCCAGGCAGCTCCCAGCACAGCTCAGATGCCTCCGCCCTCAGCAGCTTCTCCGGCATCTTCCAAGGGGCCCGGCATTTAGGGGAAGGGGGGAGCAAATGCCCCACCAGCAGGCCCCGCATCAGCATTGCCTCCTCAGCTCCCCCAACAACCTTGAGATGTGGGGACTATTAACCCATTTTACAGATGATAAAGCTGAGGCTCAGGAGGCAGATGAAGTCATCCACTTACTCAGCCGATAAGTGCAGGAGCTGAGACCTGAACCCCGGCCAGCCTGGCTCTAAAACCTGTGGGCCCCTTCCCAGTAGCCGAGCAGTGCTGGTTGGAAGTTGGAAGACCCCACCTCAGATCTCAGCCCCTACCTGGGAGCTCCGAACCAAGGTGGGGACGGGGGAGAAGAGCCTCAGCTCCCCTGGGAGGTGGGCTGGTCATGAGCAGCCAACTTGCAGCTCATCTTTGCCTGTCTTTTCTTTTTTTTTTTTTTTTTTTTTGCGGTACGCGGGCCTCTCACTGTTGTGGCCTCTCCCGTTGCGGAGCACAGGCTCCGGATGCGCAGGCTCAGTGGCCATGGCTCACGGGCCCAGCCGCTCCGCGGCATGTGGGATCTTCCCAGACCGGGGCGCGAACCCGTGTCCCATGCATCAGCAGGCAGACTCTCAACCACTGCGCCACCAGGGAAGCCCTGCAGCTCATCTTTGAATGAGGCTGTGGGGTTGCCAGCTCTACCCCACACATGCCCCAGCTGCCTTCCTCCATCCCCGTGTGCCATCCCAGAAGCAGAATAGACGATTAGCACAAGCAGGAGCGAGCGTGAGGTCACCTAGGCCCCTGTTTATGGTTCCGTGAATTCCTTGGCTGTGCACACTTGACTGGTGGTTGAGAGTGAGTGAGGGGGGGCTTCCCTGGTGGCGCAGTGGTTGAGAGTCCGCCTGCCGATGCAGGGGACACGGGTTCGTGCCCCGGTCCGGGAAGATCCCACATGCCACGGAGCGGCTGGGCCCATGAGCCATGGCTGCTGAGCCTGCATGTCCGGAGCTTGTGCTCCGCAACGGGAGAGGCCGCAACAGTGAGAGGCCCACATACTGCCAAAAAAAAAAAAAAGGGGGGGAGTGAGTGAGGGTTGCCATCTTGTGGAGGGACCCTCCCTGGCCGGCCAGCTTGTGTGGCCTCTGGGGACACAGACTGGCAGGGGGCTGTGGCAAAGCCAGAGAGAACTTGAGCCTGGTCTCCAGGACACAGAATGTTTTCCCATGGCCTCAGGGAAGCGTGTGGATGAGCAGACAGAGGGTCACAAGGACCTCGGGTCTGTGAGGGAAGTCGCAGTGCACGGGGAGCAGGGAGAAGGGGGATCGGGAAGAAGGAAAGGCCTGACCACAGCAGGAGAACGAGGGCCTCATTCAGAGAAAGTGAGTCACCTGGCCTCCAAGATAAGGAAAACAGAAAGAGTCCAATCTGACAAAGGCACCCCTTGTCGCCTGCCCAGGGCCAGACGTTTGGGGCGGCGGTGGGGGGGAGATCGCACCAGCACGGAGCCTTCCTCGCCGCCCCCATTCTGGGGGTGTGGGGCAGGATTGCTTCTGTGAAGAGGGTCATGAATGGACCCAGCCAGGAGGCCCAGGGGCGGGGATGCCTGCTGACCCAGGTGCCTGGGGGCCTTGGCGGCTCTGTCCCCAAGCCCCCAGTTACACCCTTCACCATTCTCCTCTGCTCAGGGCCTGAAGCCGATGGACCACAATGGGCTGGCAGACCCCTACGTCAAGCTGCACCTGCTGCCAGGAGCCAGTAAGGTAAGGAGCCCTCCTGCCGCGACTGGGGTCCAGGCTGGGCTTGGGGCACCCAGGGAGGCCCACAGCTCCCACACCCACTCAGAGCCCAAGCAAGTTGAGGGGTTCACTCCACCTCCACCCAGAGCACCCAGTCACCCCCACACCCTCTAGGCCTCCCAGGGAACTTGAGTCAGCACCACCTGTCCGCTGAGTTGGGGAAACTCCCGGGGAGAATTTCTAGGCCAGCGTTTTAAAAGAAACACTCTCAGCTGGACGTTAATACTGTGCGCAAACAAAGGGTTCTGTGGCCAGATAACACTGGGAAACATTGTTAAACAGGTTTCTTTACTGCAGGACTTACCAGAGCCTTTAATGTGTTGATGGGCTGCTCTGTGATGCCCCACAAGAGGGATGGAGTAGTCAGCAACTGCCCAAATTATTTGACTACAGAACCCTTGTTCCTGCACCGGATGACCTGACAAGCAGACCAGCCCAACAGGTGCATCTATGAAAGGAGAGGGAAAAAACCATTTTTTAAATTCTCTACGAAAAGCATCAAGGTGGCCTTCAGCACTAGAAGATCAGAACGTGATGAGACTTCCTTTCGTACGTCTTACAGTTCAGTGTAGTTTTATTTGTAATGTCATGGGAGGGAAGGTCACATCTTTTCAGAATTGGGTCCTTCCCTAGCCCACAGATATCTCAAGGGCTGAGTAGGGCAGACCCCATGCCAGGGGGGACTCAACTGGAGTCCAGCAGCTTTGTTTCCAGGTAGAGACCAGGGTGGAGGCAGAGGGACAGGGGACACAGGACACAGAAGCATGAGCAGCAGAGCCCAGTGGCTGGTGTTCTAGTCCTGGCCTCCTTCTTAGAAGCTAAAGTTGGGGGAGTTCCTTCCTGGCCCTCGAGTGACCTGATAGAGAGGAAGAGTCAGCAGTGGGGGCACCCCCCTGGGCAGAGGGCCTCCCCAACACTGCTCAGGACAATTGCAGACCAACTGGGAGGTCCCACCCCCAGGTAGCCACCCCAGGCTGAGGAGCCACAGGCTGCTGGGGCCTGAGTTAACTTTGGGGCCTGGGCTGCCCCTGGTCCGGGGGCGCCATCCCAGAAGGGAAGGCAGGGCTGCGGGAGAAAGGGCAGTGGACCTCCCACTACACCTGGAGGAGCAGGCTCCCCACTCCAGGCCTCCCTGTCCTCATGCTGCAGGGAGGACCCCCAGGGCTGTGAAGGCCACGCGACCAGGGGAAGGGGCCCAACTCGGGGGCTCAGTGACCGTGCGTCTCTAGACTCCTGGGACCTCGAGTCGGCAGTACCTGGCTGCTGAATCCTAGGGACCCCCCCCCCATAGGATAGATTCCCTCGTAGGGCAGAGTTTCACAGAGCACCTTATAGAGAAGGTCCTACAAACCAGGCTGAGAGAGACGTGGTGTTACGCCCTGGAGCCTGACCCTCAGAAAGGGTCAGTAACCCACTGGGCTCCACAGAGCTTATGTAAGTGGTGGAGCTGGGATTTGAACCCAGGGCTGTCTGACCTCAAAGCCTGGGCCGGTTTGTGGACATCAAAGGGAATCGGCTACGGAAGTCAGGGTCTGAAGGGGGCAAGGCAGGTAAGGAGTCTAAGAACCACGATCTCTGGAAGCACTGAGGAAGGAGGGGAGGCAGCCCCCAGGCGTCCTCCAGGAGAGGTGCCTTCCCGGCAGGGGCCAGCCTGAGCGAAGGCAAGGAGGCTGAGGGAGAGAATCTAGGTCCAAGCCAGGCTTCCCAGCCGCCCAGACCACGCCTCCTGCAGACACCCTCCCCCCCCCGTCCCCCCACCCCCTGCCACACACCTGGGCACGCACCTGGGAGGCAGGATTCTCCTGTTGTAGTTTCCTAGGGCTGCGCTAACAAATGACCACCAACTGGGTGTGTTACGACACCACAAATCTCACACCTTCCAGTTCTGCAGGGTGCGAATCCGACATAGGTCCCACTGCGCTACCATCACGTGTCAGCAGGGCTGCGTTCCATTCTGGAGGCTCGAGGGGAGAAGCTATTTCCCCTTCCTTTCCAGCTTCTAGAGGCACCCCCTTTGCTTGGCTCGTGGCCCCTTCCTCCATCTTCAAAGCCGGTGTCGCCTCTCTGACTTTCTCCCCTTGTCACGCTCCTTCGGACTCTTCTCTCGCCTCCCTCTTCTACTTTTAAGGGCCCTGTGATGACGTGGGACATGGCCCATCCACATCATCTGGATAAACCCCCTGTATTGGAAGTGCAGCGTCTTAACCACTGGATCGCCAGGGAAGTCCCCAATCGGCCTATTTTAAAGTCAGCGGATTAACAACAGCGTTAATCCCCCTTTGCCAGGGAAGAGCACTTATGCACGGGATCTGGGGGATTGGGATGTGTTTGGGGCCATTACATTGCCCATCACCCTCTTTGACACTCAGAGGATCCTTTTTGCTCTCTCCAGGCAAATAAGCTCAGAACAAAAACTCTCCGAAACACTCTGAACCCCACGTGGAATGAGACCCTCACTTACTACGGGATCACAGACGAAGACATGATCCGAAAGACCCTGCGGTGGGTGAGACCCCAGGCCGCCGGCTCCCCCACCCCACCCAGCCTTGTCCACAGGGCAGGCCCTCCCCACATCCCCCGGCCCACCGCCTGCAAATCTGCACTGACTTTGGCAGCAAATTGAGAGGCCCCTTGCCCTCCAGGATCTCGGTGTGTGATGAGGACAAATTCCGCCACAACGAGTTCATAGGGGAGACGCGGGTGCCCCTCAAGAAGCTGAAGCCCAACCACACCAAGACGTTCAGCATCTGCCTGGAGAAGCAGCTGCCGGTGAGTGGGCCACGACCTCCGGTCTTGGGCTCCGCAGCCGTCCAGGGCCCACCCTGCCGTGAGCACAGGGCCAGGAGCATTTATTGAGCACCTACTATGTGCCTGGCACAATTGCAGATGCTGGGGAGACAGATAAATCTCCCTGCCCTCATGAAGTTTGGGTGGGAGACAGACAAAAAATGAAATAAACGACCCAAACAGATAGTCTGTTCAGCAGGGATCAGGGCCGAGAAAAAAAGCATGAGAGGAGTCAATGGGTTAGACGGGTGCTCTGGGAGGGCTCACCCAGCGAGCAGGGAATATTCCAGGCAGAGGGAACAGCAGGTGCAAAGCCCTGTATGGAAAAGTGCCCAGCATGTGGGAGGCACAGGCGAGAGGTCAAATGAGAGGGGCAGAGAGAGTGAGGGGAGGGGGTCCTGGGAGCTGAGAGCAGAGGTTGGGGGTTGGGGATGCTGGGAGGACTCTGGCCTTATCCCTGAGTGAGACGGGCCACAGGAGGGTGCTAGGCAGGGGCCAAGGCCTCTGAGGACTTAACAGGCTCCTCAGAATGGGAGGGAGTGGAGGGCCAGGGCGGGGAGACCAGCAGGGTGGAGGGAGGAGCAGGACCCAGGCCTAGGCAGGGCAGCAGTGGAGGCAGGAGAAGGGCTGAAGATCGGTATCAGGCCTGGGGCCCGAGCACCTGGGAGGATGAAGGGTCATTAACTGGGATGCGGAGGACTATGGGAGGAGCAGCTGGGGATGCTCGGAGCACAACTGGAACATGTTAGGCGTGAGGTGCCTGTGAGATACCCAGAGGAGACAGAAAATCATTCTTTCCTAGAAATTGCAATTGTTTGAAAACGTCAAAACCAATTTTGCCCCCGGGTCGTCTGCAGCAGCTGAGCCCTCCCAGAGTCTCTGAGCAATTTTCCCCTCCCCCTTCTCCTCCCCGTTCCTTCCCCTCCCCAGGCCTGCCTTCACCCAGTTCAAAAGGGCCAGGAGGGGTTGGCCAAGAGGTCCAAGGCCCGGGACCCTAAGAAACCTATGCCTTCAGGGACTGCATGGTGTTCAGGGCACAGTCCCCTCCCCAGGACAGTTCCCTACCAGAGGTCTGGGCAATGGGAAAGCTCAAGAGGACAGTCCAGCAGCTGTCCCCCGAGGGCCTGTACCCCTCCCCCATAGGGCCCCGAGACACATGCTTAGCAGCCTGGCCTGGAACAAGTGACCTGAGGTCAGACCTCCCTCCCAGAAACCCAGCTCTGTCTTTTTGCATAAGTTGAGCAAATTGTATTCCATTGTCACGTTCTCTCCCACTCATAGATATTTGTGTGATGGAGACAACCCTTCTAATTTTATTATTAGTCACTAACCATAGGTGACCCAGTTTCTCCAAATAATATATGTCACTTATAAAAGGCAACACCAACTCCTGCTGGAGTTGTGTTTCTGAGTTTTGATCCCTGACATAAACAAACACCTGTGTGGTGTGTGAATTGTGTGTGAGCAGTGTGTGAGAGCGTGGAATGCACGTGTGAGCACCTGTTTCATGCACGGGGCGGGGGGTGCGTGAAAGCATGCATGCTTGTGCAGCAGGTGTGATCAGGGACTTGCTTAGCCTTGCTTGAATTTGCTAGGATCTCACTGGTCCAGTTCAGGGACCCACAATGACAAGGGTACAGTTCAGAAAAATCAATCGGCAGTGAAGTTTCATTTTGATGATACCTTTCAGATTTTACATAGCCTTGTAAACCTTATTCGTTCTCCGTAAATACTGAACGATGCCCAGTTCAATGGTCTGCATGTGAAACAATCCAAAGTATATCCTATCCTAAAAAAACAGCTGAAAATATCCCCGCTCATTTGTACTGTTTAATTTTCACACATCACAGCTGCCACAAGAGCCATGGTTTAGTGAGGCTGTCATACACAAAGCGCTAGGCCCGAGTGGCAGGTAGTTAAATCTCACCCGCCTCCTCTGAGCCACGGGTACAGGCTGCCTGAGCACTGTGTTGAGGAGATACTGAGGCTGCATTTGAGCTCCGGGTGAATTCAGTCATCAGCTAGCCATGTCTGCTCTGGGTGTGGGAGTTGGGGAAGATAGTCGTTCTTCACCTAACAGGAGCCCCATCTACAGAGAGGTGCAAGTATGGCCCCTGCCCAGGAGGGGCCACGTAAGCTGCCCTTTTAGTGCCAGGCAGTGAACAGTCCAGAGCAGAGGGACCGAGTGCAAGAGGAGCCTGGCAGAGAAACCTAGGAGGGGTCTTGGGGGGTCATAGGGCTCAGGCTGGGTGGACCGAGGGTAAAGGAAAGGGGTTCCAGGTGAGTAGCAGCTGGAAGGTAGAAACAGGTGGTCTCAGGAGGGTGAGGAATGGTCTCAGTGGGCTGGCTGGGGTGGGGAGGCCACACAGTGAGGCCTGGAGTTGAGGTCTGATCCGAGGCAGGCGCTAGGCAGGGCAGGCCTAGGCCACACCCCACCTGCCTCCTAGCTCCCCCTGGGGTTGGGAATGTGCCTAAGACGCTCCAAGAAGCACCTTCCAGGGGGCCAGGGCCAGGGTGACCGCTCACCACCCAGCGGGCTCCGTTTGGCCTGGGCCTGTGGCTGCAGGAGAGGTGGGAGCAGGCAAGGACAGCTGAGTGACCACCCACCTGCCCCACAGGTGGACAAGACAGAAGACAAGTCCCTGGAGGAGCGGGGCCGCATTCTCATCTCCCTCAAGTACAGTTCGCAGAAGCAGGGCCTGCTGGTCGGCATCGTGCGCTGCGCACACCTGGCTGCCATGGACGCCAACGGCTACTCAGACCCCTACGTGAAAACGTGAGTGTGCAGCCCAGGCCAGCCGCCTCCTTCCCCACTTCCTCACCTCCAGGGACTAGGGAGGTCCATGCGTCGAGATCAGTAGTCCGTGTGGCAAGTAGTTGTGTGAAGCACAGGGGGTGCTGTGCCCACGAGGTCATACTCTTCTGCGCTCTTTGGGCAACTCTGTGGGTTGAGTCTGGCCAAACCCATTTCTCAGATGAGGAAACTGACGTCCATAGCAGTTGAGTGGCAGCCCAGTCACACAGATAGAGAGCAGTTATCTCCTGATGTTTGGATCAGGTCTCTCTGTGGTCACGGGACCCAGGAAAGGCTGTGAGCAGGTTGGAGGAGGGGACAGGAGGCCAGAAGATCCAGTGAAGGGACTCCATCAGGACTTAGGGCTGGGCATGTGTGGGCAGTGCTCTACGGTACCACAGACACAGATAGGGGTCCACCAAACCCTGACAGGTGGGGCTTCTGGTAGCACTGGGGAGAGACTTAATTCAGGGGCCCCAGAGCTGTGAACCTGGGTCAGGACAGGCTGTGATCCTAGCTCAGGCAGGAGCTGGTGGCCATTTGGAGAGGGATAAAGCCTGTGTTTTGGTGACCACCGTCTGTGCTTCGGTGCGCTCCACAAACAAAAGATGGACGTAGCGAGGTTGTCTTGAAGGGTAGGACTTGGGGAGGAATTTGACTCAGCAGAAAGGAGGTGTTTCTGCTCAGGGAAAGGGACAGAGGATTTAAGATAGTTAAGAAGGAGGGATGGTTCTGGCCTCAGGAGACAGTAAGGAGGCCCAGGTGACAGAGGCCATCACAAGGACTACTGGTTTTCTGCTCAAAAAACAATGTTGGGGCCCAACTTCAACCATTAGCAAGACAATGATTTCCAGTGGATCAGAGACCACTGGGAACGGAAATGCTGTAATAGCTCAGAAGACAATTAGACTCTAAAGTGGAGGGAAAGTAAGTGATACTCGGTAACCTAGAAAGATGCGTACGCTCTGTGGCCGCATCATTTCCCTTCCAGGTCTGCGTCCTAGAGACCCAGGCCCTGGCATAAAGCTGCTTTTGCAGCATTGCTTAATAGCAATAAGATGGAAATAGCCTAGTGTTCATTAGCAGATTAATAAAATGTGGCATCTGTGTACAGTGGAGTACTATGCAGTTGAAGAGAATAAATGAGGGAGGTGAATGAACGTGGACAGAGCTATGCTGAGCCCAAAGCAAACTGTAGTGGGGCGGGGGCACCAGTGTTGATACTGTAGTGATTGTCTCTGGGGAGGGAGGATGGTGCCTCCACCTGTAACTGTGATGCTAGAGGGTTTTTTTCTAATTTTTATTTATTTTTGGCTGCGTTGGGTCTTCGTTGCTGCGTGCTGGGCTTTCTCTAGTTGTGGCGAGCGGGGGCTACTCTTTGTTGCAGTGCACAGGCTTCTCATTGCGGTGGCTTCTCTTGTTGTGGAGCACAGGCTTTAGGTGTGCACGCTCAGTAGTTGTGGCTCGCGGGCTCTAGTGCACAGGCTCAGTAGTTGCAGCGCATGGGCTTAGTTGCTCTGCGGCATGTGGGATCTTCCTGGACCAGGATTTGAACCCGTGTCTCCTGCATTGGCAGGTGGATTCTTAACCACTGCACCACCAGGGAAGCCCTAGAATGTTCTTATGGAAGAAAATATGATCTGAAGCCAAAATGGTGTGAAAAAATTTTTTAATTAACATTTATTTTTGGTTGCGGTGCATGGGCTTCTCATTGCATTGGCTTCTCTTGTTGCGGAGCACGGGTTCTAGGCACACAGGCTCAGTAGTTGTGGCGCACAGGCTTAGTTGCTCTGCAGCACGTGGGATCTTCCTAGACCAGGGCTCGAAGCCGTGTCCCCTGCTTTGGCAGGCGGATTCTTACCACTGTGCCACTAGGGAAGGCTGGTGTGAAATTTCTAAATTGGGCTTAGTTCCCACCTGCCAAGTTGATAGGAATTCAAGGGGCTCATGCTGTGTTATCCAGAAAATAGGGTCTCAGCTCGTACAACAGAGGGTCCAGCCACCTCCCACAGCCAGGGAGAGGTAGCCCTGGCAGGGCCTGTCCACCATGCCTGGGGCTCCCCCGCCACAGGTGTGGTAGTTGCTGGGCCCACCCTCCAGCCATGGGCCGGGTCAGCGTGGCCTTTCAGACAGGCAGCTCTGTGGGTGGCCCCGTGTATCAGAGGGAGGGCCCCAGCAGCCTAGAAACCTGTAAATCTGATTGAAATTCCCTGGGTGAGTTGCAGGGGCTGCTGCTCAGGCCTCCTCAGGGCTCCCTATCTCTGAAAGGCCCCTTCATGGACCGTGGGCCTTCTCTTTGCTAAAAGTAGGGGAAATAAAGGCACAGGTGAGATTCCAAGCGGAGCATCTGGGGCCCTGAGAAGAGAGCTACATGGAAGTGCCCGGTGGAGGTGGAGGATGCTGAGGGGCAAAGCTAGATGGGCCAAGGCCTTTTGTCGGCACCCTTATTTTTATTAACTTCACCCCAGATGACAGCTACCTCAGTTTCCCCAGGCTGGAAGCTGACCCCAAATCCAGTTCTTCAGGGTCTGCTAATAGTTACAATCAATCATCAGTAACACATACCGAGTTTTTTGCTGGGTGCCAGGGCTGTGCTAGGCCTCTTTGAAGCCCCCCAGCAGCCCTGTGCAGTACTTGTTACCACCTCCATCTCACACCCAGGGGCACTGAGAAAGCTCAAAGCAACTTGCTGTGCTGCCCTGGGCAACCCCTTCCTTCGCCAGCCCTCTGCTGTCTTCTAGGGGCCTCAGGTGAGCAGCAGTTGCTGTGCAGAAGGGACCAGCGGTGGCACTGGTAGGGAGGCTCCCTGAGCCCTGGTGGCCAAGGCAGGAGGGAGTGCTGATAGGGAGGGTGAGTAGCCATGGGCGGGCCCCTGGAGCGTGGCCAGGGTGCACTTCTCACCCACAGAGGCCACGCTCCCTCAGGAAGCTCCCCTGCATGCAATGGTGAGGTGAGGCAAGAAGGGACTCCAGGCAGGGTGACAGCATAGACAAAGGCCTGGGGGCAGGACAGGGGATGACCCCTAGCTGGGGCCTCGTGAGGATCACTGGACGGACACTGGCCGTGCAGCGCTGAGGGAGCCTGGGATAGCTTTCCTTCAGGGCCTTCCGGAGGCAGGGCTGGGAGACACTCCCACTGTGCAGGACCACCCCCATCCCTCCTCCTCGCCCCTAAACTAAAACAGGCAAAGACGAGTCAAGGAGTGCGTGGAAGCTTGTAAGGAATGCAGAAATTCACCATCTCTGGGTAAGTGTTTAAGGGAAGCCCCCAACCTATTTAAAAAGTCATCTTTATTGAGGTATAATTTACATCTAGTAGGTTTCTCCCCTTTTGAAGTGTGACTGACTGAAGTATACAATCTTGTCACCACCACCATGGTTAAGATCCAGATGCCATCACCCCAGAAAGGTCCCCGGGCCCCAGTCAACCATTTGACTTGTTTTCTGTCACAACAGTTTTGCCTTTTCCAGACTGACTTATAAAGGCAACTCCTACATAACTTAATGCTCTGGGGAGCCAGCCACGTGGTGCCTGAGCCCAGAGTTCGGTCTGTAGGTCTGCATTGCCAAGTAGTCGTCCGTCAGGTCACTTCCTGTTGAAGTGCATGGGGGCTGTTCCCAATTTCTGATGGCTGTACAAAGCTGCTAAGGAACAGGCTTTTGTGCAGACCTGTGTATTCATTTCTTTCCCCACCCCCAACTTCTGTTAATACATATTTTCTAGTGTTTCTATAACGAACCAGTATTTCTTATGTAATAACAATCACAACTTTTTTATAAAGTGCACAGAAAAGCAATAATAAGGTACCACTTTCTATGTTCACTGACCCCACCCAGTGCCAGGCATCAAGTTGGATACCAGGAAGCTGGTGGTGGGTGAGACAGATGTGGTCCTGTCAGCAGGAGCAGGGCAATTGTCACTAGTGTCCATGCAGGGACAGGGTAAAAGAAGCTTTGCAAAGGACACGGCCTGGCTTCTGAGCACCATCCCTGTGCGGAGCAACTGTGTGACCCTGGGTGAGTCCCTCCACCTTTCTGAGCCCCAGATGAAGACTGCTGTTCTGCATCAAAGTCTAAGGAGCTGATGCCCGTGGAGGGAGCTGGCCCGCAAGCAGGGCTTCCCTCTTTCCCTTCAGGAAGCACTGCTGTCACTGCCCAAAAGACCTTTTTTCCTTCCTCAAAGCTCCAGTGAGGTAGTGGCAATGGTTGTACAACTCAGCTACTATGCTAAAAACCGCTGCGTTATACACTTGAGAAAGATGAATTTTATAGCGTGTGAATTCTATCTCCATAATCTACTATTACAAAAAGAAGAGCTCTAGCAAGGGACCAACTTTGCTAAAAATGTTTTTCTGGTGGGAAATGAGAGCTGTGAAAATTAGACTTCCAGAAATAAAGAAAATCCTCTTTCCTAGGGGATGGAGGGGCTCTGTGACATCAGGAATGGGTTGTGAACAGAGGTCCAGGTGATGAAGGACCCACTTGCTTCTCCCACTGCACTGACTGCTCACCTTTGTCACAGAGTAGTGCTGGGGACATCCGAGGGTTAGGATGAACAGGAGGCCTGGGAATCTCTCTCTTCCAAGCCCTGCTGGCTCCATGTGTGCTCAGTATCTTCTCACTCTCTGCCTGTTGATTGGTTGTAATTCCAGATACCTGAAGCCAGATGTGGACAAGAAATCCAAACATAAGACAGCGGTAAAGAAGAAAACCCTAAACCCAGAGTTCAACGAGGTATGAGAGGCTGGGGAAGCCATGAGCCACTCACTCTCCCTCAGGACAGGGGACCCCGGAGGGACTGGGTTTTTCAAGGGTCACTGTGGGAGCTGGAGGTTGGAGAGGGACTGACAGGAGAGCCCCCAGCCATGGGCTAGGAGGACTGGTGGGAGAAGTGAGGCCAGGCTGAACCAGGCCAAGATGGTGCAGACAGAAGTGAGGAAGCGGCCTGGAAACTCTTCGGAGAATTGAATTGATGGGATTGTAGCCATGTTAGATGTGGAGGGGGTGGTGTGAGGATGTGAGCGGCCAGGAAGGTGGGGGCAGATAGATACCCAGGTCCTCAGCCCAGGGGGTGGGTGCAGCCGGAGAGGAGCTCCAAGGAACGAGAATGAGGGAGGGGAGCCTCTGACAGCCTGAGTGACTCGGGTGCAGGCAGAGAAGGCCGAGGAGGTGCTGCCAGGGAGCGAGGGGGACACCAGATGTTGAAGGATCCTGGAAGCTGGTGGGAGAGGGTTCCACAAAGAAGGGAATGGTCAGCAGAATCAGACCCAAGAGAGATCAAGCATGCCAAGGCCGCCAAGTGTGCGCTGACTTGCAGTAAGGAGACTCTTGAGGATCCTGAGAAAAGCAGCTTCAGTGACAAAGGGGCAGGTGGGTCAGAGGGAAGGGGACCCGAGGATCTCAGCTGGGCTCTCAGATGGAAGTGGGTGAGATGGGTGAGAATCCATTATCATCCACTGCTGTGCACTGCCCACCCTCCCGGCCACCAGCCGACTTACAGGCCGTGTGTCACTGGTCCTGACACTCCCCTTCTGGCCACCAGGAATTCTGTTATGAGATTAAGCACGGGGACCTGGCCAAGAAGACCCTGGAGATCACCGTTTGGGATTATGACATTGGAAAATCCAACGATTTCATCGGTGAGAGGACACGATGGGAATGCTCTTTAGCAACATGCCCATCCTGGGTTCAGCAAAGGGCAGGGGCCCTGAATCAGGCCACAGTCCTGCCTTCCTGGCCTGTGGGGAAAGTTGGGGCCATAGACATGATCCAGCCTGACCCCATGTGACAGAGAAAGAGGCCCAGAGAGGGCAAGAGGCCTGGCCGAGTCACACAGCAGTCTGTGGTGGAGCAGGGGTAAAAGGTGATGATGGTCAGCCCCTCAGGCTGGACTCTGAGCCCTCGTGGCCCCACATTTGGGGTGGGCTTGGTGGCTGTGCAGTGGAGCTGCCCTGGCACCAACACAAGCCCCTGTGCTGCCCCGCAGGTACTGCTCTGGTCCTGGGTAAAGGAAGAGCAGGATCCCTGGGCCCTGACTGGGGGAGTGGGGGCTCCCAGAGTGTGGCAGTCAGACCACGGTCCACCCTCAGAGCAGGTGGGCAGGGAAGAGAGTCTGGCCGTGGAGCACAAAGTCTGGGAGGGGTGCCAGGGGGTACTGGCTCCAGAGAGACCCTGAGAGTCAGAGGTCACCGTGTCCTGGCTGCCTCTCGGCTCCCCTCTGCAGGCGGCGTGGTTCTGGGCATCAATGCCAAGGGCGAGCGCCTGAAGCACTGGTTTGATTGCCTGAAGAACAAGGACAAGCGGATCGAGCGCTGGCACACGCTCACCAACGAGCTCCCGGGGGCCGTGCTCAGCGACTGACCCACCCCACCTGCCCGCTGCACCCACCCCTGCCCGGCCCAGCACAGGCCTGGCCCTGGGCTTCCTCAGCTGCCACTAAGGGCCTCGCCCCCATGTTTGGGGAGATCCAGGACGCCTGCTTGGACACAGAGCCACTGCAGCCCCCGCTTAGAGGCCATGAAGGCCCAGCCCCTCCGAGGGACAGCGGGGGCAGAGAGCTGGGCCTGCTTTCGCCGACCCTGGCCTCAGCACCCACCCGGAGGAAGCAGATGGGGCTGTCCAGAAGACAAGGACCCTACTAGAGGTCAGCAGTGAGTCGCAGGGGCCTCCAGGCTGAGAGAGCGGGGGTACCATCAGGGAGAGGGACAGTAAGAGAAAGAGACTTTGGGCAGGGGCAAGACAGGACGCTGAAGAAAGTTCATTCCCAAAAGGAGGTTCTGACTACATCTGCTCATCTCTGGCATGACTGGGTTGGGGGGAAAAGTTGACCTGAGAGCCAGGAGTCTGGTAAAGATCCTGGAGCTCCCAGTGAACGTGGGCACAGGCCAAGCGCTTCACTCAATGATCCCACAGGCCCCTGGGGATGAATGAGACCCTGGGCCTGCCCTCAGGGAGGTCCCCATCTAGTCAGGGAGCTGGAAACAAACCATTACAATGGGGTTGTGAGGAATGCCAAGGCCAGCCTGACCCACCTGCACGTTCTGTGGACTCTGCTGACTCGGCTGGGAGAGCAGGGAGGGGTTCCTGGAGGAAGTGATGCTTTAGCAAGGCCTTGAAGGGTGAGTGGAGTTTCTAGGCAAAGGGGAAAGAGCAGTGTAAGCAGTGGGACCATATACAAGGCCTGGAGGGGAAAGGTGATTTGGGCCAGGGGCACTGTCTGGGACCCAGGGTCTCTCTGGGAGAGGGAGCAGGGCTTGTCAGGGGCAACAGCACTCAGTCCTGCTCCCACCTCACCCCTAGCTGCCAGGCCAACTGGGCTTGTAGACATAGGGGGAGTGGCTTAAACTGATGTTGTTGCACGGTCAAGTTCAGTTCTCAGACCCAGCTCTCCTACCTTTGATCTTTCTCCTCCTGAGGAAGCTGGAGGATGGATCCTGCCTCTCGCTCCAAGCTTAAGCATCAGGTCAGCTGCAGTCAAGAAGAGAGTGAGTCTGTTTTTCTTTGCATGAAAAGAACCAAAAAGTCCTCCTTGTCCTTACCCTCCTCTCCCCTTCCCCCACCCAGGGCCCTTCTGGGTTCAGGGTTGGGAAGTGGGGAGCCCCAGGTGGCTGCCCCTGCATCCTAGCCCTACTGAGATCCCTTTCAGGAGTACTCAGCAGCAGTCCAGGGCCTTGTTTCTGGGAAGGGCTGGTTCTGTCTTCCAGAAGCTAAGAGAGAGCCCCCTGCACCCTGGGTGAAGGTCTCCAGGAAGGGGTTGAGGGCATCAGAATCTTGGGCCCAGGCTTGAAGCCCCAAACTTTTCCTGCCAACTAAGGGGCCTTCAGGAACGCTGGATGAACAAATGCAGAACCCAGGAATTTCTGTGCTCAACCCATCACTGCACTGATGGGAAACAAAGCCCAGAGAGGGAAAGTGATCTACCTGAGGCCTTCCAGCCCTACCACAGCTGGGGCAGACCAGGTTCCATGGCCCCTGCCCCACCACCTCCAGCCCAGAGCTCTGGACACCACACCCACACCAACGCTTGTACAGGGCTCACAGGGGCACTGGGGCTAGACCTTATGCTGCAGACAGGCTCACAGGGGCACTGGGGCTAGACCTTATGCTGCAGACACAAAGCACATTACCATCTGAGGCCTGGGGTGATGATGTGAATCCCACCAAGTGCCCATCAGCCTTTTTCCATTTTGCAGGGGAAACAGGACTCCAGCCCCATACAGTACCTGGCAAACTTTGCTCGTCAGGCAGTCCTGGTTTTCCCTAAGGAGGCTTTGTGTGTGGTAGGGGTTTTACAACCACTGTCGTCTTGATGAATCTCCACAGCCCCGTGAGATGGGTCTAACTGCCATCTGACAGATGAGGAAGGAGAGTCAGAGAGGCTGAGTCTATTTATGAGGAACCTTGTGTCTGGGTGAACTCTGGGTTATCGTCTTAGCTTTGCCTTTTGGGTGGGGGGCAGGTTTCTCATTCAGAGAGGAGCTTCACGAATTCCCTGTAAACACACGGAAATGCTGAATGGCCAAGTTAGAAGTACACCTAGAGCCTCACCTAGTACAACTTCCTTGTTAGACCCATGGGGAAACTAAGGCCACTTAGCGCCACTTACTCGCGCCACAGAAGTAGCAAGCAGAAGGGGCCTACACAGGACCCAGTTGGGATAAGAACCCAGGACACCTGGCACCTAGTCCAAGGCCGTCTACTGCCCTAGACTGTGCAAGAGCAGATTTGGTCCTTAACCATGGTCCCAGCTGACCACAGGGACAGTCAGGCTGGGAGGTGGGGCTCCTGGACAGCTAGCCCGAGTGGAGGATGGGGCACTGGGTAGAAGACCTCCCAGGGAGAACCTTCACTAGGACCCTGGCACTGTTCTGGACCCCTTGCAGGTTCTATCTCTGTTTGTTAGAGAAAAAGGCGCTTTGAGAAGCTGCAGTGTGAGCTCTCCCTTTGACCCCAAGCTGGCATCTTTCCTCTGGTCCCTCAGCCCCACAAAGACGGTGAATTTGACGCCAAACAAAACAAAGTCATTCCAAAGTCAGATGTCAATAACCAGGGGGTCACCAGGTGTGGCATCCACCGCCACCCCCACCCCCCTGCCTAGTCTCAGCACCCACCGCCACCACTAGCCTATCCCCCACGGGCCCGTCGTCCAACCCTGAAGCGGTAACCTCCTGACCTCTAGTGGCGAGAGCGAGGAACTGCATCTCCTGCCCCGAGCATGTCCTCCCTTTGTTCGTTCTCCAACCGAGAGAACCTCCCGATGCATGGACTCTGGCTGTCTTCGACGCAGACTCGTGCACTGCTTACCACCGTTTTGCTATCATGTGACGGCTGCAGAAACAGTCCTGAAACTGCAGCCCCACACACAATTTTTGTACTTTTGTCTGACCTACCCGAAGGTGTCCTTTTTAAGTCTTATTTGTTAATATTTATAATGACATATAATCCAAAGTAAATGGAAACGTTCATTGTGATCATATGGGCTTGGGAGACTCATCTTAATAGATTTGAATGGGTGAAGAGGAAAGAACGCGAGCCCAGCAACCAGGGCTTATTCTGCACATTGTCTCGTTTACTCTTCACCAAGAATCCATTTGAGGTAGGTGCCCATGTTACAGATGGGTAAAATATTTGTGCAGAATCACAGCTGGTTAATGACAGACCAGGATTCAACTTATGCCTCAAGACATTTTATGCCATGTTATCATCTACACATCCAACCAACAGCTGTGGAGTGTTAACTCCAAGGCCACCCACTGGTCTAGGCACCTGGGGCAGATTCATCAGCAAGACAGCTAATGAACAGTAAACATAACATGTTAAAAGATGACAAGGGAAAAAAAAGGCATAATGGAATCCTGTGGGCAGGGGAGGCTGGGCTTAAATAGGGAGATGTGGTGGGCCTCCAGAGAAGGTGACTTTTGAGCTTAGACTTGGAGGAGGTCAAGTGGGGAGTTCTGGGGAGACTTGAAGTGCTCCAAGTGGAGGGAACAGCCAGTGCCCCTAGAGGTGGGGGCAGGCTTGGTGTGACAGGAACTGCAAGGAGAGCGATGTGGGTGGAGCAGGTTGGGGCGGGGAAACAAGGGTAGATGAGAGCATAGGGAACGGGGGACCGGATCAAGGACGACATTATAAAGTCTGTGGCTTTCACTCTGTGTGAGATGGGAGCAACCCCGGCTTACCTGTGAACAACCTGTGGTCTGCGGTAATCAGGCCCAGCTTGGAGGTCCCTCTGGTGGTGGTGTGCCTGTGGGTCCAGGGTTCGAGGTCAGTATCCAGAGCAGAGGTGGCTGGGTCCTAACGAGAAACAGCTGTAGCATGATTTTGGTCAGTGTTCTGGCCAACCTCCCTTAGCAACCGCCTCTGTGCTGGCCTAATTTTCCAGGCCTTCCGCCCATTCTCTGAAGTACCCAGTACCCTTCCAGTGCATTCCTTTTCTGCTTACGTTAACTAGAGTCGGATCCTGTTATTTTCAACAGAGAAACCTGCCTGGTGATCTGGTGCAGTCTGATCATCTAGGTCTCGAGCGTCACCTCTTTGTGAGGCCTGTCTTGACAACCTCAGTCACTTTCTCCTGCATCAGCCTGCTTTCTTTTCTTCACTGCACTTACCATCAAAATCACCTGGTGTATTTGCTCATTCCTTTCTCCCCTCACTAACCTTCATGAGAGTAAGGGCCGCACCTGTCTTGTTTACCACAGTAACCCCAGACCAGGACTGAGTGTAGGGCAGGCCTCGAGTAAGTATTTGTTGAATGAATGGATGAAAGCTGCCAATATGGACATTGTTTGAAAAGAGCCAAGTCCATGAGTCTGGGAGCATGTGGTTATGAAGATGACGGGTCCAAGCCCAGGTGAGTATACACAAAACTCCTGTTAGCTCCAAAGACTTCTGGGGTACAGATGAGAAATGACCCCAAGTACCACAGAGTTCCCTGAGTAGGGAAAGGGAGAGAATGAGAGGAGGAAAGGAGAGAGAGAGTGGGAGAGTGATCAAGATGGCAGAGTAAGAGGATGTAGAGCTCACCTCCCCCCCGCAAATCAAAAAATACATCTACATGTAGAACAATTCTCACCAAAAACTACGTGGAAACTGGCAGAAGGACTCCTCTACAACCAAGGCTGCAAGGAAGATTCCCCCATAGTCCCATCCCAGGTAGGATGGGAAGAAAAGCACCGGGTCGAGACCTGTGCCCCCAGGAGGGAACTAAGAGGTACAGGGAGATCATACAGGTGGACATTCACCCTGGGGAGTGAGCAGGTTCAGAGACAGACTGGGCATTCTAGTCCTGCGGTCTTATACAGAGGAGGCAAGGCCCTTTGGCTGCCTGGAGAACAGCTGTGACACATAGAAAGGCTGGAGAAGCCTAGACTGCACTGGCGAGGAGTACGAGTGCTGGCTTGCCACCAAACAGGGTGGAGAGAGGTCTGCCCTAGCAGCTGTCACCTTGCCACACTCTCTGACCCAAGCTGAGTGAACCCCCTGGCCCCACTCACTCCACACCACAGCTTGGCACTGAATCTAGGGCAGCCACATCCTGGGAAAAGACTCGATCTAGGGACACAGAGGTGACCCACGGGCCTGGGGTATGGTACAGGCTGAGTGACGGCCATTGCTGGTGCTTACTCAGCGCCACAGAAGTAGCCCAGACTTCTCAGGACAGTGCAGCCACTTCGATTCCTGCAACCACAATGCCGTGATCCCCAAGCAAACGCTCCAGCCCCACCCACTCCGTGCCACAACCTTACATTAGCGCTGAGACCACCGCAATAGGGGAAAAGACAATCCTGATCTGGTTCTGAGCGTGACTGCAGATACCTACACAAGCAGCACAGTGGACATCTCTAAGCACACAAACCCTGCTTATTTCAGCACTCCCCTCCTTCGGGGCAAAGGTTCCAGTGTGGGGAGAAGGAAAAACACACACTTGAAGGGAACAGAGCCAGCTCCAGCCCGACCCTCAGGGCTTCCACTCCAGCAGCTTGGGAGCAGACCCCACCCAACAGGGCGGCTGTGGCCAGTGAGGAGACAGGAAGTCTCACCTCACACCCTGCACAGTCTTTGGCTCCTCCAACGCCAGCCGTACCCCCCTATCAAGGTGGTAGTTGTCATCACATCCTGAGGAAAGTAGTGGGCTGGCATCCACATCAAATTCAACCCACACACCAAAGATGTTAGGCACACACAGTCTACACAGGGATGTTCCCACATAAAAACACCCCTTCAAGACCATAACAGGTAACTGTTGCACCTAAATTCACAGACAGAGAAAGTTAAGTAAAATGAAAACGCAGAGGAACTACTCTCAACTCAAAGAGCAAGAGAAAACCCCTGAAGAAATAAATAATGAAAAAGAGATAATCAATAGACAATGAATTCGAAAAGTTGGTAATAAAAATGCTAACTGAATTAAGACAGTAGAGGTAAGCACAGATCATTCTACCAAGGAACTAGAAATTTAAAAGACCCAATCAAAAATTGATAATTCAATCTCTGAGATAAAAAGCACTCCAGAAGCAATGAATAGCAGACTAAATGACACAAAAGAATGCATAAGTGATCTGGAGGATAGAATAACAGAAATCACCCGATAAGAACAGAAGAAAGAAGAAAGGGGGGGGAGGGAGGGAGGGAGAAAACAACATACAAGATCTATGGAATATAAAATGTGCCAATATTCACATTATAGGGGTTCCAGAAAAAGAAGAGAGAAAGGGATCAAAAATGTACTTGAAGAAATTATGGCTGGAAACGTCCCAAACCTAAAGAGGGAAACATATCCAATTTCAGGAAGCAGAGTGCCAAACAAGATGAGCCCAAACTGGCCCACACCAAGACATATCGTAATTAAAATGGCAAAATTAAAGATACAAAGAGAGAATTCTAAAGGCAGCAGGAGAAAAACAGAGAGTCATATACAAGGGAATCCCCACAAGGCTATCAGCTCATTTCTCTGGAGAAACTTTGCAGGGCAGAAGGAAGTGGCATAATACATTCAAAGCCCTAAAAGGGAAAATCCTGCAACCTAGGATACTCTATCCAGCAAGATTATCATTTAGAAGAGAAGAATAGAATTTCTCCGACAAGCAGAAACTAAAAGAATTCAGCAATACTAAACCTACCTATCCTAAAAGAAAGGTTGAGGGCTTCCCTGGTGGCGCAGTGGTTGAGAATCCGCCTGCCAATGCAGGGGACGCGGGTTTGTGCCCCGGTCTGGGAAGATCCCACATGCCACAGAGCAGCTGGGCCCGTGAGCCATGGCCGCTGAGCCTGTGCATCCGGAGCCTGTGCTCCGCAACGGGAGAGGCCACAAAAGTGAGAGGCCCCCGTACAGAAAAAAAAAAAAAAAAAAAAAAGAAACGTTAAACGGTCTACTCTAAATGGAAAAGAAGAATCTATAGGAGAGGGAAAATCCCAATAGGCAAGGCAAATATATAGTAAGGATTAAACATCACTTAAATAAGCCAGTACTTAGATTTTTTTTTTATTTTAAAAAGCAACTACAATAAACAGTAAAGGGATAAGCACAAAGGTATAAAATGATATCAAAAACTCAAAATGTGGGGGAGAGGAGTAAAATATGTAGATTTTTTAAAATGTTTAAACTTAAATGATTATCAGTTTAAAACAATTAGATATAATTATGGGTCAATATATATGAACCCCATGGTAACCACAAGTCATAAACCTACAATAAGGGGCTTCCCTGGTGGCGCAGTGATTAAGAATCTTGCCTGTCAATGCAGGGGACACGGGTTCAAGCCCTGGTCTGGGAAGATCCCACATGCCATGGAGCAACTAAGCCCGTACACCACAACTACTGAGCCTGCACTCTAGAGCCTGCAAGCCACAACTACTGAAGCCCGTGCACCTAGAGCCCGTGCTCCGCACAAGAGAAGCCACCGCAATGAGAAGCCCGCACACTGCAATGAAGAGTAGCCCCGACTCGCTGCAACTAAGAGAAAGCCTGTGCGTAGCAACAAAGACCCAATGCAGCCAAAAATAAGAATAAATAAATAAATAAATAATTTTTAAAAAAGAAAAAAAAATCTGCCTTCCAATGCAGGGGACGCTGGTTCTATCCCTGGTCAGGGAACTAAGATCCCACATGCCACAGGGCAACTAAGCCCGCACACCACAACTACTGAGCCCACACGCCGCAACTAGAGAAGCCCACGTGCAGCAAGAAGAGATCCTGCGTGCCGCAGTGAAGATCCCACGTGCCACAACTAAGACCCAACGCAGCCAAATAAATTAAAAAAAAAAAAGACAAAGTGAGGGGATGCAAAAAGATATTTCATGCAAATAGAAACAACAAAAAAGCAGGGGTAGTGACACTCATATCAGACAAAATAGACTTTAAAACAAAGGCTACGGACTTCCCTGGTGGCGCAGTGGTTAAGAATCCACTTGCCAATGCAGGAGACATCGGTTCAAGCCCTGGTCTGGGAAGATCCCACGTGCTGTGGAGCAACTAAACCCATGCGCCACAACTACTGAGCCTGCGCTCAAGAGCCCGTGAGCCACAACCACTGAGCCCACGTGCCACAACTACTAACGCCCACGCACCTAGAGCCCATGCCCCGCAACGAGAAGCCACCACAATGAGAAGCACGCACACCACAACGAAGAGTAGCCCCTGCTCGCCACAACTAGAGAAAGCCCCCGTGCATCAACAAAGACCCAATGCAGCCAAAAAAATAAGTAAAATAAATTTTAAAAAATAAAAAAATAATTTTTTTAAAAAGGCTATAACAAAAGACAAAGAAGAGCATTATATAATGAAAAAGGGATGAATACAAGAAGAGGATATTATACTCATTAACATATAGGTACCCAATACAGGAACACCTAACTATATAAAGCAAATACTAACAGACACAAAGGGAGAAATTGACAATAATAGTAGGAGATTTTAACACCCTACTGACATCAATGGACAGATCATGCAGACAAAAAACAAAATAAGGCAACAGAAGTCTTAAATGATACAACAGACCACTCTGAAAAACTTAGAGGAAAGCATTAGAGGAAAAACTTAGAGGAAAGCATTTCCTCTAAATTCAGGAACAAGACAACGATGCCCACTCTCACTGCTTCTTTTAGCATAGTATTAGAAGTCTTAGCCACAGCAATCAGACAAGAAAAAGAAATAAAAGGTATCAAAGTTGTAAGGAAAGAGGCAAAACTGTCACTATTTGCACATGACATGATACTTTATATAAGGAACCCTAAAGTCTCCACCTAAAAATAAACTATTAGAATTAATAAATGAATTCAGCAAGGTTGCAGGATATAAGAGTAATATACAGAAATCTGTTGCGTTTCTATACACAAATAATGAAACATCAGAAAGAGAAAGTTTTTTAAAAATCTCACTTAAAATCACATCAAAAATAAATAAAATACCTAGGAATAAATTTAACCAAGGGTGTGAAAGATCTATACTCTGAAAACTATAAAACACTGATGAAAGAAATTGAAAATGATTCAAAGAAATGGAAATTTATCCTGTGCTCCTGTATTGGAAGAACTAATATAATTAAAATGACCATACTACCCAAAGCAATCTACAGATTTAATGCAATCCCCATCAAAATACCCATGACATTTTTCACAGAACTAGAACAAACAATCCTAAAATTTATATGGAACCACACAAGACCCCCAATTGCCAAAGCAATCCTGAGATAAAAGAACAAAACCGGAGACTTCAGACTATACTTACAAAGCTACAGTAATCAAAGCATCATGGTATTGACACAAAAACAGACACAGTTCAATGGAGAATAGAGAGGCCAGAAATAAACCCACATACCTACAGTCAATTAATCTACAATAAAGGAGGCAAGAATATATAATGGAGAAAAGACAGTTTCTTCAACCAGTGGTACAGAGAAACCTGGAGAGCTGCATGTAAAACAATATTAGAATATTCTCCCATACCATATACAAAAATAAACTCAAAATGGTTTACAGACCTAAATGTAAGACCTGAAACTATAAGACTCCTAGAAGAGAACATGGGCAGAACTCTCTGACATAAATCGTAGCAATATTTTCTTGGATCAGTCTCCAACAGCAAAAGACATAAAAGCAAAAAAATAAACAAATGAGACCTAATTAAACTTAAAAATTTTTGCACAGCAAAATGAAAAGACAATCTACAGAATGGGAGAAAATATTTTCAAATGATGCAACTGACAAGAGGTTATATCCAACATAAAGACAACTCATACAACTCAATATCAAAAAGAACAATCTGATCAAAACATGGGCAGAAGGTACTTCCCTGATGGGAAATAAAAACAACTATAAAACTAAAAACAGATCCAGCAATTCCACTCCTGGGTATATATCCATAAAAAATGAAAACATTAATTCGAAAAGATCACCCCAATGTTCACAGCAGCACCATTTATAATAGCCAAGACATGGAAGCAACCCAGTGTCCATCAATGGATGACTGGATTAAGAAGATGTGGTGTGTATATATATACACCATATATCTATGGAATATTACTCAGCCATAAAAAAGAATAAAATACTGCCATTTGCAGCAACATGGATGGACCTAGAGAATATTATGCTTAGTGAAATAAGTCAGACAGAGAAAGGTAAATACTATAGGATATAACTTATATGTGGAATCTAAAAAATAATACAAATGGGGACTTCCCTGCAGTCCAGTGGTTAAGACTCCACACTTCCACTGCAAGGGGCGTGGGTTCGATCCCTAGTTAGGGAACTAAGATCCTACATGTTGTGTGGCACAACAAAAAATAATGATAATAATACAAATGAATGTATATGCAAAACAGAAACAGACTCACAGAGAAAACTTGTGGTTACCAAGGGGGAGGGGGAAGGGGGAGGGACAAATTAGGGGTATGAGATTAACAGATACAAACTGCAATATATAAAATAAAGAAGCAACAAGGATATACTGTACAGCTCAGGGAATTATATGCATTATCTTGCAATAACCTATGATGGAATATAATCTGCAAAAATACTAAGGTACTATGCTGTACACCTGAAACAAACACAATATTGTAAATCAACTATACTTCAATTAAAAAACAGAAAAAGAAAAAAAGAGTGAAAGGAGGAAGAGAAAGCGAAAGGAAGAGGGCTAAGGGGGACTAAGGAGGAAAAGAAGGGAATGGTTGCAGAAATGGGCCTGGCAAGGGCCGAGAAAACAGGCAGGGGTGAGGAAGGCCAGCTCCACTGCATACCCAGAGCCCCAGGGGAGGTGGCAGCCCAGGATGGGCAGAAGATATGGCTTTCCTTATTATCCAGTGGTGGGGGAGAGTGCTCCAGGCAGGGACTGAAGGGGGATCTAGAAACAAATCACACCAGGAGAGTCATGTCCCCATATCCATGGCCAGCAGCAATGGGCACAAGGAAGCAGACTCATGGTCCCGTGCAGCCAGGGTTGTAGTAAACATCCTGATCACTAAGATTCATTGGGGCATGAACAGGCAATGTGTTAGGCTCTTTATGGGACTGTTAGAACAGATCATCTCCTGGTCAGGAAAACTGTACAGAACAAGTCTGGAGATGGAGGTGGGGCACTGGTGGCAAAACTAACATAAGGCGCAGAGGCTGTGAAAGGTCCCTGGGATGCATGAGGCAGGGACAGGTGACAGATGGAACGTGGGCAGACGTGCTCTTCTGGGAGTGGGACCACCCTCCATGGACACTGAGGCCTGGTCAGGGCATTGTTTCCTCAAAAGGGCACCCTGGACAGCCCCCAAATCTCCAGGGTGCTCCAGCACCAGCAGAGGCTATGGTGGACTCTGCTCTCCCCCTAAATATTCCACCACACTAAAGGCAGCAACCCCACACATCTGCCCCTACAAGCCCTGAGCACAAGAGGAGGGAAAAGGAGAAGGACTATTTGGGGGCAGGCAATTTGTTCCTGTGCGACTTCAATGTGAAAGGAATCCTTGGGACCTCCCTGGTGGTCCAGTGGTTAAGACTCCACGCTTCCACTGAAGGGGGCTCAGGTTCGATCTCTGGTCAGGGAAGTAAGATCCCATATGCCGAATGGCTCGGCCAAAAACAAAGGAGTCCTTAAGGACACGAAGAAAATAACTGACCAGACAGGAGGTGCCAGAATTGCAGTATCAGCAGCAATAACACCCATATATAGAGTGCATATCTATAT